CCAACCAACCAACCAACCAACCGACCTTTCGATACTCAAAGAATTTCGGTATGTTGTAGATTACAGAAAAGACTGCCACCACAAAGACATACTTCCGCCAGTCTGCCATCTTGTTTTTGCCACCGGAAAAGGGTCGACAGGCTGCCAGATAGCGGTTAAAAGATACCAAGACGGTATAAAACACGGTACACGTGTAGGGCATTTGGTATAGGGCCCATATATATGGTACGATAATGTTGTGCGTGGCCCTGTAGAACTGAAGGGGTATGTGTTATTATTATTGCTATTATTATTATAATTATAATTACTATTATTATTATTGTTGTTGTTTTTATTATTATTATCGTTTTTATTAATATTATTTTATTGTAATTTAATTTAGATTATGGTAATTCCACTGAGATAATACACACACACACAAGTAACACACAGACATAGAAAAAACTTTGCATTTTTATGACGAAAAACGTCATCACTAACAACTACATCAACATTAACAACAACAACAACATCATCAACAACATCATCAACAACAACATCAACAACAACATCATCAACAACAACATCATCAACATCATCAACAACAACATCAACAACAACATCATCAACAACAACATCATCAACAACATCATCAACAACATCAACAACAACATTAACAACAACATTAACAACAACAACATCAACAGCAACAACATTACCTCAAAAGGCTGCAGCACGTATAAAGGAACAGCCACAAAGGATAACAATGTGTCAGCCATTGCAAGCGCTTGTAGCAAAAACGCTGTAACAAGCGTTTTGTTGTTGTTGTTGCTGCTGCTGCTGCTACTGCCGTTGTTGTTGTTTTTGTTGTTGGGTTTTTTCCTCAACACCAAGATGGCCAAAATGTTTCCGACTACACCACAGCAGCAGATCATTCCGCCTAAGACTGAGTAGTTGATGAAGTCGAACCATTTGCAGCTCTCTGTCATCAGGTCGTTGTCACCGTTGTTGTTGTTGTTGTTGATGTTGTTGTTGATGTTGATGATGACGTCATTGTTGTCCATACTGTTGTTTACGCCATCCATGCTTGAATCGTTAAGTTTTGTTTAGTTTTAACGGGGAATTATTGACACGTTTAATGTAGTTTTGTTGTTGTTATTGCTGCTGCTGTTGTTGTATTTGTTGTTATATTTGTTGTTGTTGCTGCTGTTGTAACCGCTGTCGATGATGATAATGATGACAATGATAGTCATGGTGATGATGGTGAGTATCATAATTTTTTTCTAAGAGCTCTCCTTGCCAGCCATTGAATCGTTGGTGATTTCGTTGATGATGGTATAGATTTCTATAGATGATAATGTCGTGGCTGTTGCTACTGCTGCTACTACTGATGATGTTGATTTCGCTGCTGATGTCGCCACTGCTGCTACTGTTGTGGCTAACGTCGCCACTGTTGTTGTTGCTACTGTTATCGCTGCTGTCGTCGCTGCTGTTGCTACTGATGTCGCTAATGTCGCCGCTGCTGTTGCTACTGTTGTCGCTGATGTCGCGACTGCTGTTGTTACTATTATTGCTGCTGTCGTCGCTGCTGTTTCTACTGATGTCGCAAATGTCGCCGCTACTGTTGCTACTGTTGTCGCTGATGTCGCGACTACTGTTGCTTGTGATGTTGATGGTGGTTAAATGGTTGTTGGAAATTTGCCGGACATTTTAAACTGTCTAAAACCACGCAATCCAAAGTAATAATAATAATAATATTAATAATAAATAATAATAATAATAATAATATACAAACAACAACAACATTAGGGACAATAATGATAATTCAAAAACTCGGCGTCAAAATTCCCCAGTCAATTGTTCAGGTGTCGTCAGCATAGACAAGAAAGTTAATAAAGGGGACAGCAAAGAATAATAAAAGAAAATGGCTGGAGAGAGTTAAAAAACACATTTTTCCACCCATTCGTCCATTTATCGCTCGGTTACGTCATTAAACCGGAAGTCGCAGTTGCCATGGCGTGTGATGCTGGCAATATGTCGGAACGGAAGTAGGGATGAAAGCGCTATTTTTCGTTTTTACTTCTCTATTTTTTATCTATGGTGTGTTATCTAGGGTTTTTTTTGTTTTTTGTTAGGTATTATATCTATGGCTGATTATTTTCCACACAAACCTATTGTTCTGGTTTATGTACTGGCCTTTGGTTCTTATCTACAGTCTTTTCTCTCTCTCAGTTCATTATTTGCTTTCTATAGTCAATTGTTTGCATTACGTTGTCTATAGTGCATTGTGTTGTCTATGGTGCATTGTGTTGTCTATGGTGCATTGTGTTGTCTATGGTGCATTGTGTTGTCTATGGTGCATTGTTTGTTATCTATGCTGCCTAATCTCCGTTCTTCACGCTGTTTTTTTTATCTATGCCTTCTTTCATTTTTGATGTGTTTTTTCTATGGTCTATTCATTGTGTAATATCAATGGACCATCTTTTGTGTGATATCTATGGTCTAGTGTTTTACTATCTATGGTCCAGTAGACAATCTTTAGCATCTTTGGTTTAAAAAGTTACTTCGTTAACATTATTCCGTACGTTTTTTGACGTGTTTATTTTGAAGGTACGTGTGTTTGTGTGTGTGTGTGCGTGTGTGAGTGTGTATATGTGTGTGTATGTGTGTGTGTATGTGTGTGTGTATGTCGGAATGCATGTAATTTTAGTAAAAATTTTTGTCGAAAATTTGTTAACGTAGCAACTTTTTTTAACGTAATTTTATAGACACACACAACACACGCACATACATAAATAGACTCACAAATACATACATACACGCACATACATACACTCACATACAAACACACACACACAAACAAACACACATACATACAAACATACACATACAACAACCGAATAACTAATGAATAAGCAAAGAATAATTGATCAAGATCATTGTTATGTTACCATCCTTATCACCACTACTGCTACTACATTTTACTACTACTACTACTACTGCTGTGTGTGTGTATGTATGTGTGTGAGTGTGTGCGTGTGTGTATGTGTGTGTGAGTGTGTGTGAGTGTGTGTGTGTACGCCCTAAAGCTGGTTTAATACATGAAGAGGACGTGATTATTATTTCATAATCGTCTCCCAAGTCCTTTTTTCAACAGAAAGAAATATTATTTTTATTCTTTTTATTTTTTTTTTATTATTATTATTATTGTTGTTGTTGTTGTTATTCTTATTGTTTTGGGTAAGGATTTTTGTTAAGTAGAACTGACATGAGCCCATTCCCAATAGATGACGAAGTTGATGATGATGATGATGGTGGTGATAGTAATGATGCTAGAGTTTATTATTATTTATTATACTATTATTATTATTATTATTATTATTATTATTATTATTATTATTATTATTATTGGTATCACTATCTCATCTTCTTCATCATTTTCATTAATGGGGTTCAACCCATACCGCTTCTCCATTCTGATTGGTTGAAAAATATACCCTCATTTTCCATTCTATGTCCTGATTGGCTGAGACATTCTTTCTTAATGTCAGTCTGTGATTTGATTGGCTTAGACGTGAGCCCACAATGTATACGTCACTCTGACGTCATTCAGACTTACAATAAAATAACAAGCGGGTGGATGTAAAAACTTGCAAACAAACGAATGAATGAACGAGCGAATGAACGAACGAAAGAAACGAACGAATGAATGAATGAACGAGTGAATAAATGAACGAATGAATGAATGAATGAATGAATGAATGAATAAATGAATGAATGAATGAATGAATGAATGAATGAATGAATGAATGAATGAATGAATGAATGAATGAATGAATGAATGAATGAATGAATGAATGAATGAATGAATGAATGAATGAATAAAAAAAATCTCACCATTCAAAAACAAATTATTCAACTTGAACATTTCAAACTGACACAGCACTACGAAAAAGTTTTGCGTCGTGAAAACTTGAAAATTTATTTCAAAAAAATTTATTTCAAAAAAATTTATTTCAAAAAAATTTATTTCAAAAAATCATCATTACCACCACCATCCTCAACATCATCATCGTCTTCATCAACATCATCATTTAAACAGCAATTTATGAGTGAATAAGTTACTTTTATGCAAATGACAAAAACCGAAAATTACCGCGGACACGCACATCCCTATTTATGACGTCAGAACTCGTCAAGTGCCAGAAGACTATGAATATTCAAAGGGGACCAATCAGGTAAGTTATATTTATTACTTCCGCTTTTTTTCTTCTCTTTTTCTACTTTCGTCCGCTCGGTTATTTATTCCTAACGATGTTCATCACTCTCATCATCGTCGTCGTCATCATCACCATCCCAACCATCGTCACCATCATCACAGCCATCTTCTGAATGATGATGACGATGGTGATGAACGGTTTGAAACGCGTTTCGCTGGCGCTAATGATAATCTTCTAATGCCACAAATTTGATCTTCCGTCTACCATTTTGTTATCTTCCGTCGGCCATCTTGTTTTTCCACCATTTTTTTTCGTACTTCGCCATTTTTTTTCTCGCCATCTTGTTTTCTAGCTGATTTGCATTTCGTATTTTTTCTGTTTTTAGTGCAAATTTTATGGCCACATTCGAACCGTAAATTTTGTAAGAAACATTTTCTTAAACTTTCATTTATTTATTTTTATTCATTTGTTTGGTTATATTCATTCATTCGTTCGTTCATTCATTCATTCATCCATTCATTCACAGCAACGTCTTCCTTCTTTTCTACTATCTTTCAATCACCATCCAGCGAACCTTATTGTAAATAATTTGATTTGGCGTCATATGCACTGGCATGATAACGCTAGGATATTAATCTATTTTTAGCCTGCATTCTGATTGGCTACATCACTCCAACGTCATCATCAACATCATTAATGAAAAAGATAGAGAGAGAAAAAGAGAAAGAGAAGAAAAGAGAGAGGGAAAGAAAGAGTATTTTAACAACAACGACAACAACAACAGCAATAGCCACAAAATTTTGTTCATTCATTCATTATAAATAATTCAAATAAAATTATTTTTCATAGCTAACCAGTGTCGTATTCTCGAGTTGTGTCTCGTTAAGTTTCGGCGACGTCTCGTACCGTTTCGTTTTGTCGTCCAGAGCCTAATTCCGGTATGGTCTCGTGTGATGTCGGTATTTTTAACGAGACGAGGATGTTTATTATGATATTTAAAATTTTGTTGGTGTTAGGCTTGGCGTCATTTTAATTTATCGTCTTATAAATTCCATTTTCTTTATTATTACAAATTATTAATTTATTATTATTAATTATTATTATTTATTATATATATATATATTTATTTATTTATTCCAAATAATGTTAAAATAATTTTAATCAAACAATATCTTCATCTATCGTTCAGTGTAGAAGCTAAGACCGATAAGTGAGACGGACTTATATGGTGTCGCTATTTATAAGAGAGAGAGAGAGAGAGAGAGAGAGAGAAGGAAAGAGAGAGAGAAAATGAAAAAGAGAAAGAGAGAAAAAGAGAGAGAATTTCAAATGTTTATTACAGAAAATATTCATTCATATTATCAGTTTCAAAACGCTTTCTTTTAATTTCAATATCAATATACATATATACACATGCATATAATAATATATACATATAAAGAGAGAGAGAGAGAGAGAGAGAAAGAAAGAAAAGAGGAGAAAAAAAGAGAGAGAAAAAGAAAGAGAGAGGAAGAGGGAGAGAGAGGAAGAGAGAGATATTGATTTATTTAAATTCTGAAAATTTGTTCGTGTTTGAAGATGTTGTTAGTTCAGCAGTTTTCGGAATTCAAGATGGAAGTTAATTAACCCGGGCTCAAAAAATAGAAAAGAATGAATGAATGAATGAATGAATGAATGAATAGATGAATAAAACATTTGTATGTTTATTTTATTCTGCATAATATTTTTAAAAATTTTATCACAGAAATTAATAAGCGTTCACTAGATACAGGTTCTTATAATTCTAAATACAAATTTAAACAAAGGCATTATTCATTGATTGATTGATCGTATCGTTAATTAATTAATTAATTAATTCATTCATTCATTCATTCATTCATTCATTCATTTCATACATCTTACTGGTCCTCCATTCATTAGTTCGTGTGGTTGTTCTTATACTACATGCAGAAAAAATGAGAGAAAGAAAGAGAAAAAAAGAGAAAAAAAGAGACAGAGAGAGAGAGAGAGGGGGGGAGAGAGAATGAGAGAGAGAGAGAGAGAGAAAGAGAGAGATACCAACACCACAGTACACACATATTTCAATATATATATATATATATATATATATATATATATATATATATATATATATATATATATATATATATACAGGCAACGTGACGGCAAAATATACTAGTGAATAAGTTTTTTAACGAAGAATGAGGATTGTGAAGATGATGATGATGATGATATTTGTGAAGATTGTTAGGGTTAGGAAGATGATGTGATGATGATGATGATGATCGAGATAATCTTGATAGTGATGATGGTGATGGTGGTGGTAATGATGGCGGTATGATGGTGATGACGGGTATGATGATGGTTAAAATAATTCTTATCATTTCGTCATAATTAACCAGGGAAAATTTGAAGCAAATTATTTCCATTTTATTCTATCATTATTTCTCCTTCTTCTTAGTGGTCATTGCCATTTCTGTTATAATTATTGTTGTTAGTGTTGTTGTAGTAGTTGTTGTGCTTGTAGTAGTAGTTGTCGTTGTTGTTGCTGTAGTAGTAGTAGTAGTAGTTGTAGTTGTTGTTGTTGTTGTTGCTGCTGTTGTATTAGTAGTAATAGTTGTTGTTGTAGTAGTGTTGTTTTTGTTGCCGTATGTTTTAGTGGTATTAGTTGTTGTTGTTGTAGTTGTTGTGGTTGCCTGTTGTTGTTGTTGCTGTAGTAGTAATAGTTGTTGTTGTTGTTGTTGTAGGTGTAGTTGTTGTTGTTGTGGCTACCCTTTTATCGTTCGGTCGTCATCTACAACTGACAACGATAATAATAATAATAAATAATAATAATAATAATAAATAATAATAATAATAATAATATGAATAATTATAATTATCGTCATCATCATCATCGTCGACGTCGTCATCATCATTACCACCATCATCATCATCGCAACTACAACTACTATTACTACTACAACAACAACCACAACAACAACAATTACTACTATTACTACTAGAACAACAACAACAACTACTACTACTACAGAAAGTAACAACAACACCAACGACAACTACTACTACTACTACTTTGACCATCATCGTCATCATCATCATCATCATCATCGTCTCACTTGTATCATCGTTGACTTGAAGGGCTACTTGCAAACTCGATATAAATCTATCACCATCATCATCATCATCATCATCATCATCATCATCATCATCTGCTTTATCATCATCATCATCATCGTCGCTAGTTGTAATCGAACTATCATCATCGCTATCATTATTTACGGTCTCTTTGTATTTATCTTTCGTATTTAGGATCTTTTTTTGGGGGCGGGTTTTCCCGCGTTCGTCGTCGTCGTCCTCATCATGCAGGAAATCATCAAATTGCGTGTAGTACGTCTCCGCAAGTTCAGGATTTTCCGGAATTCCTAAAAATAGACGTACGGATTGAATGAATGAATGAATGAATCAATGAATGAATGAATGAATGAATCAATGAATGAATGAATGAATCAATCAATCAATCAATCAATCAATCAATCAATCAATCAATCAATCAATCAATCAATCAATCAATCAATCAATCGATCGATCGATCGATCACTCAATCAATCAACCAGCCAACCAACCAATCAGCCAATAATAACTAACCATCATCAAAATTGAGATAGATTGCACTTTGATACATTCCCGGGTTGTGCATGGGAGTGATTGGTCTATTATCGAAGGGTGACGTAAAATTGAGTTTATTTATGCTGCGCTTAATTTTCGGAGATGAATTTTTCTTCAACCTATATTTATCGGAGTTATTTGTTGTGTTGTCTTTGGTTACATCATCATCGTCGTCGTCTTTGATGACGTCATTTTCGTTGTTGATGTTGTTGTTGCTTTGGATGTTGTTTTTAAAAATCTGCCTTCTGTTGTTGTCATCGTCATAGTCGTTATTATTATTACTATCATCATCATCATCTTCATCATTGTTGATGTTGTTGTTGATGATGTTGTTGTTGTTGATGTTGTTGTTGTAGTTGATGTTGTTGTTGTTGATGTTGTTGTTGTTTTCCCCAAATTGAACCTAGATAAATTGTATTTTAAATTTTTATCGCATTGTATATTTAATTTTTATAACATTGTCGTCGTCATCATCATCGTCGTCATCATCATCACCATCATCATTGTCGTCATCATCATCATCATCATCATCATCATCGTCATCGTCATCAAAACCTTAGAGTGGTATGGGTCCATGGCGCATTTTATAGCGGCGTATGTCGCTTGCGACTCCAAGCGCTGTTTAGCCACGAAATTTCTGTCACCACGGTGATGATGATGATGACGATTTATCATCATCATCACCATGCCGATCATCATCATATGTCATCATCATCATCCTCCTCATCATCATCATCATCATGCCGATATATCATCATCATTATAATAATAATAACCACAGTCATCATCATCATCGTCGTCATCATCATCATCATCGTCACCTCAACTTCCTGGCTTCATCATCAGCTCTCTTCTGCTTCATCATCCTCATGCGGTCCCTCGGCGCCATCTCCAACAGCCTCAACTTCTCGTCACTCTCTCTCTGGAGGTCGCTCAACTTCGAACGCTGGGAGCTTCGGTGGTGGGTGGAAGTTGTGGATGACGATGAAGTTGGTGGTAGTGGTGGTGGTGATGATAAAGATGGCGGTAGTGATGACGTTTATTAAGATGATGAAGAAGAAGAAAAAGTTTTTGATGATGACGATGACAAAGATGATGATGATGAAAAAGGAGCTAGTAATGATGAAGATTGTGATGATGACGACAACGATGATGACGCCATGATGATGATGATGATGATGATGACCCAGAAAATAAAAATTCAACCCTTGAAAAAACTAACAGGCAATCCATAAGGAGACATCTATCTTTCCTAACAATGCAAGTGTCGTTCAAATTAGATTTGTATTCATTCCTGCGCAATGTTACCTCCATGTGCGTCTTAAAAAGTGTGCGCATCAAAATTTCACCATCATCATCATCACCACCATCATCATTATCATCATCGTCATCACCACCATCATCATCATTATCATCATCGTCGTCGTCACAATCACATGATCATTTTTATCACTATCACTATTATCTTCTTCCTCTTCATCATAATCATCATCACTATGAAGACCATCTTCTTTTTTCATCATCATCATCATCATCATCATCATCACCGTCATCATCATCATCATCATCATCATCATCGTAATTTAGATCCGACTTGTAAATTTTTCGCTATGAAAGGAATATTCAACGCGTCAGACGCCGATGGTCTCAAGTCAGCTGATCGGTTCAACAACCTGGTGATGATGATGATAGTGATAGTGATGATAATGATGATAGTGATGGTTATGATGATGATAGTGATGGTGCTGATGATGACGATAATGGTAATGATGATAATGATGGAATTATGACGATAATTCAATAAAAAAAAACAACCATTCAATCATTCAAAATCAACCAACCTTCCAACCAACCAACCAACCATCCAACCAACCTATAAAACACATCCCCTAACTCTCTGGAATACAGTGGGGGCCAGTCAGGCAGAGGGCCCTCCGTGATGTTGTACATGACAGTCATCAGGGACGAGCCCTTGAAGGGGTGCTCCAACGAAACTAGGTCATAAAGAACGCACCCAAGTGACCTATATTAGAGGGAAAACGATGAAATTTAAAGAATAAAAACAAGATTAATAAAAATAAATTAACAATTTTATTATTATTACGGGGGGCGGGCGGTTAACCCGGCCCTGTCCCTAACCAGATGTCTGACTTGGAGTTGTAGCCCTCGTGTTTCAGAACCTCCGGACTCATGTAGTAAGGGGTGCCCACAAAGGTCTCCGCCATGTCTATCGTTCCGGATAGGACCTTTGAAATCCCAAAATCCCCGATTTTTAGCTGGCCGTTGTTCTTCAAGAAGATGTTTCTAAAGAGTGAGTGAGTGAGTGAGTGAGTGAAGGAGTGAGTAATAATAATAATAATTATTATTATAATAATAATAATTATTATTATAATAACGACGACGAAGATGATGATGATGAGATAACAATTAATGTACGCGATAGGTATACTTGGTTTTGAGATCTCGATGAAGAATATTCCTGGTAAAATGAATGAATGAAGGAATGAACGAATGAACGAACGAACGAACGAACGAATGAATGAACGAGTAAATGAATGAACAAATGAATGAACGAACGAGTGAATGAATGAATGAGTGAGTAAGTGAACAAATAAATAAACAAAAACGAAGTGACAAAATATCGGTCGTCAAACTTTAATTAGCCATTATCATCATCGTCATCATCATCGTCGTCATCACCATCACCTGTTGTGTATATATTGCAGGGCCAGCAGTAACTCAACGACCCACTGAATGATGAGTCCCTCATCGAATGAATTCCGTTCCCTCTTGTATCGCTGGATTTTTGAATCCAAATCGCCCTCCTAGTTATGATTAAATAGTTACTCTTTATTTGTTCATTCGTTCGTTCATTCATTCGTCTATCTATCTATCCGTATATCCATCCATCCATTTAGTCATCCATCCATCCATCCTTCTATCTATCCAACTATTTATCTTCCTACATACCTACCTATCTATCTATTTACTATTTATCCATTCGTTTATGCAACAATACATTTACATTCATTCCTTTACTCTTACGTCAATCTATCCATCCATTCTGGCCATTTACTCTCTCTTTCTCTCTCTCTCTTTCTCTCACTCACACACAGACCAAATCAAAATCAAATCAAATCAATATTCTCAAATAATTTATGCAACAAATAATGACATAAATTGAAGAAAATTATCGAAAAAAAAACACACACACACACACGCAAACACAAACAAACAAACATTTCAAACTGAACTTACGTCACAAAATTCGGTAACAATGCAATAGAACTGGCCGTCAACAAAGCTATCAAAATATCTCAGTATGTTAGGATGGTAGAGACTGCGTAGCAGGTTTGCCTCGCTGGCCGCTGTAACCGTTTCTTCCAATTTCAAGGCTCCTATATACACCTTTTTAACTACTTTCCTTAATTTTACAAAGAGTTTTTTATGTGTGTGTGTCTGTGTGTGTGTCTGTGTGTTTGTGCGTGTGTGTGCGTGTGTGTGTGTGTGTCGAAACTGACATCTAAGAAGCTGGTATAAATTTTAAGATGACTTTTTGCAGAATTTTTCGAATATTTCAAGAGAAAATAGGTCTAATTAAATTTATTAAGAGAAAAATTTGTAATTGTAAAACTAGTAACTGTAATATTAGTAATTGTAAAACTAGTAACCGTAATATTTGTAATCGTAAAATTTAAAAAAACTTAGCTCACAATTCAATGTTATCCCTCTTGGATTTTCGATCCCTGGTTAGAAAGGCAATCCCACTATTCCCTGATCCCAATGTTTTTTCCACTTTGTACCTGTTCGCTATCAATTCTGTTTCCTTCTCATTTTCCATCAAAATCGGTTTTAATTTTTTCATGTTTGGGCTTTTTTATAACGTTTATTTCATCGTAATCTGTAATTTTAACAATTTTATGATGAAAATTTTTGTGAAAAATTGCTATTCAGATCGAGATTGAAAATAATAAAAACTAAAAATGTTAATTAACTTCATGCACACAAACTTTTTTGCCTAATACTGACTAAAAATAAAAAAAATTCAAATTAGTGTAATATAAAATGAAATAATAAAGTTAGGAGGTTAGGTCTAGTTCTAGTAGAGTACTTGTCGGCTATTTTCGGCAAGTTTACTTCATACTTTAACGTTGTTATAAGACAAGAAGAAAATCTTTTAACCACTTTAAATGTTTATTTTAAAAGTTTTTCTACCGAATAAATATCAAAAATTGATAAAATGTTAAACAAAAATTAATTAATAATCGATAACTTGCCAACTTTTAACTCGCAAAAAATTAGCTTCATGAGGTCTCTATGACAACGGACTTTTGACAAAAAGTGAACTTAAGTATTTAGTTCAAATTTGTGACCGTACACCTCTTAGAAAAGCATAATGCATATTTTCAGTTTGGTAATGGTTAAATATTCAAGTTTTAGAGTGAAAATCACGATTATATTTTTAAAATTCTAATATTTAATTGTAACATTTATTTACTTTTATGATTAAAGATTCAAAAATAAGTTTTTTTAAAAAAATTCTGACTAAACTAGTTAATTCGGACTATCATTCGCTTCAATTCAACACCAAAACTAGTTTTCCAAGAAAATTATTCAAGTAAAACTATATAATCATATAAGACATAGACGATTTTAATACTTTAAAAATGTTATTCATTGAAGGCACCCCTAACTATTTTTAAAAGGTTATTGTTGGTTATTAAGTGGAAAATAATTCGTTAAAGATTTCAAAATTGATTTCTTTTTATATGTTGTGTATACAATTTCAAATGCAGTAATTTATTAAATATATACCATTCAAACATCATAAAATTCACTTCTGAACCACCCCACCACTGAAACGATTGCTCTTTTGCCTGTTACTCTCCAACTTTTTCAAATCAGATAAGACTTTAGCCTCGGAAACTGCATTCTTTAGGTCCTCGTCAGAGTGGCATTTAGATTGCAAGCCGAACTGGAGACTGCTGAAATGTCTGGTGGATGGATTCATTTTTCCGTTTATCGAAGCAATGCAAGCGACAGATTTTGATTCGGCGTTATGTGGACACGTGCATCTTCTGGTTCCGAAGTTTTTGAATTTTTGCTGCTGTTGTGGTTGTTCGTAATGCTGGTGATGATGGTTTTTTTTCTGTTTTTTACAACTTGTGAGATCTCGCTCTACCTCCTGATTATGATGCTGTTGATGATGGTGATGGTGGTGGTCTGAGGTTTTTTTTTCATGTCTTTTTTTTACTTTTTTACCCACTTCATCATCATCTTCTTCAAGCGTAATCAGCTTACGTTTCATGTGCTTCTGCCAGGGGAAGACATGATCCTTTGGATAATTTTCAACGCTTTGATTGGATGATTGGAAGTGTCTGATGTAGGAGTTCAGACTCTGCTTTGTCACTCGATCGTTTAAAATTTTCATGAGGTCATCTGCCTTCATCGTCGGCGTCGGCTGCCGAATGCAACTTTCCGTTGATAAAGACAGGCTGGCTTTTTCTAAGTTAGCGTTGTTGTTGCTCGTCGTAGCTGCAGACATTTTGCAACATTCGAGAGTGTCCAGTAGGCGCATGATGTTCTCGTTGACAGGATTGCATTTGCATTCTGCGTCGCTGCTAACCACCGACTCGGATGTGCACGGAGTCTCTCTGTTCTGTCGGTACGAATCTCTCGGGCAAGCCATTGCGGTGAAAATGTTGTTCGCTGCATTCATCTGGGCGTTGCTTTGTTGGGTCTGTTTGATGTTTGGGTTCAACAATGCCTTCGACTGGAATTCTGCTAGAATATTTTTCAAACTCGATTCACTCTGAGGACTTTCCACGTTGTTGTTGTCGTTTTGTTGTTTGGGGTTGAGAAGTAGGAGGCTGTTGAGAGTGGCGGCGTCGCTGCTGTTGCACTGGCACGTGTTGTCGCACATCAGAAAATCGCTGATCAGTTTGAAGTTCAACAGCTGGTCATTGATTATCTGGTTGTTATCCGTCAACGCGTTGATGATCAGCTGATTGATTGCCAGCTGATTCCCCATGAGGAAGTCGTTGTCCTTGTTTGCGCAGCAGTCCTTGTTCATCAACTTCTTGCACAGTGCATTCAGCAAGCAGTCGTCCGAATCCAAGGCACTGCAGCACTCTCTAGGGTGACAGTTGTTCAAATAATTCGACAGGGAACAACTTTCTTTAAGTTTGCGACCTGCTCTGGAACTCGATGGCGGGTGGTTCAAAAGCGAGGCCTGACTCGTGGCGTGGGAATTGAAATTAAACGGATGGCAAGTTGTTGGAGCGCAGTTTGTCGAATAATTCAAACCGGATCCAGAACCGTTAGCGAATACTCCGGACCCATCTGGAGATGGTACGCCGTTCGGATATGTGAAGTTTTGAGATTGTGAGTATACTGGAAGCCCGTTGTTATCTGTCGTTTGAAACATATTTGTGTAGCCCGGTATGCTGTTCAGGTAACCCATCGCGTCTTTGTGGAGCAGTTGCATCAGAATTTGTTGGAGCAGTTGGTTTGTTTTGGCTTGCGTGCAGATGTTGATGTTCTGGTCTTGGATGGTGTTCTCGAGAAGTTTGATTTGCTTCTGCGGCTCGTTCGCCATGCCCATCAATTTCTTGAGGATGGCGATGTGAGGTATGAGCTTGGTGAGGCAGGTCCTCGCGTCGCATTTCTTCTTCTTCTTCTCGCAGCAACATTTGCACGGACTGCACTTGTTGCAGGATTTGCACTGATTGCAGGAGTTGCAGGGATTACATGCATTGCAGGAATTGCACGGGTTGCATGGATTGCAGGGAGTGCATAGATTGCAAGAAGTGCATGGGGCGCAAGAAGTGCATGGAGTGCAGCACGACGTACAACACGGAGTACAGCAGGGAGCGCAACAGGCAGGCTGGCAGGGAGCGCAGCAGGGAGTGAGGCAAGGATTGCAGCAGGGATTGCAACAGGGATTGTAGCAACCGAATCCGCCAAATAGATCCCGACGATCGTATCGATTGAGAAGCGACCTACAGGCGTCGTACAAAGCTAGATCATCCATCTGCGACCTTCTCGATGTGGTTCTTTTTCTTGTTGACCTTCTCCTTGAACTTCTTGAGCCACCAAACGTTTTGCGATTGGACGTGGCAGACTTACTCCATTCACTGACGGGATAATAATCTCCGTAACTGTAATCCGGATAATAATCGTAATCACCGTAATCGTAATCACCGTAATCGTAATCACCGTAATCGTCGTAATCACCGTAATCGTCGTAATCACCGTAATCGTCTTCGTAATCACCGTAATCTTCGTAATCGTCGTAGGCATAATCATCACTCATATTTCATCTGGTGGAATGTTTTGTAAAGACCCACGATGAAAGTGACTAAAAAGTTTCTACTTTTTCATACAAATTTTGTATTTTAAGGTTTAAAATCCGACAATAAAAATATAAAATGAAATAATTTTTTTTTAACGTAAAACTGTTGGCTCTTTATCTTTATAAGACCTCAAAGGTCCTCATACGAAACTAACTACTGAGGTCATGTTTCAAGTTAGTTTAATTAAATTCAAAATTGGAAAAATTCATAAAAGGAGAATGATTTTACGATATTTCTACAGACTGTTTTATTAAATTAAATACTTGCAATAACTTTATTAATTTAAAATAGAAAATAAAACATTTCTCATTCTTAAGTGTCGATCTTATTAAAGATTTAGTGCTTCAATTGATTAATTAATTTAAAATAATTAATTAATCTAAAATAATTAATTAATCGTCGTAATTAACTTATTGGACAGTTTGCAATTTTTATTTGAAACCAAATTTTTTTTTCGCTAATTATGGAGTTCGTTTTTGTTTACTGAGATGTTTATTTTACGTCATCGTGAAAAGACTAATAAGTTTTATAAAGAAACGAAATCATTAATCAAATTATTTTTATTTCTATGTTATTTAATAGAGTTACAAAAGTTCAGACTGGATATGTTGATGTGTATAATACAACGTACGCTCACTTCGGAATTTTAATAGTTGTATATACAATGATATATATATATATATATATATATATAAATTTGACTAAATTTTCTGTTAACAAATTACAAAATTTAGTTTTGTGCTGTTTGTCCTGATCTCAATTTATTTCTTGATAAAATTTTGGTTCCGAAATTTAATTTGTGTTGATTTTATCATTTCAAATCATCAAATTTTTTCAGTTGATAATTTATTTGAGAAAATATTATAAATTTATTTGTTAACTCACAAAGGTTTCAAGAAGAAATAAAATGACTTTTTGGTTGATCCATCCGAAAATAATTAAATTGAGTCTCAATTGATAATTTTCTTGTTGTAATTATTGAAATGACGTGAAAGCAATTATAATTAAGACTATTCAACCATTTTCACAAACTCAACAGCCCCCTCATCTGAATATGTACCTAATCTCACTCAAAGTGCACGCCTTGTCGTCAAAATCCGGAATTTGACCACCCATGTTTCCATCTGGACTCATGGAGAACTGATTCATTCCAGGAGTGTCAGGTGTTTGAGGTGAAAAGGGAGTTCCAGGTCCACCACCAGTTGGCATTGGAGAGCACGGGATCATGGGAGATACAGGAACCCCATTTCTGACTTGCATGGTAGCAATGAAAGGAGAGTTTATATCAAATTTTGCTTGTTCGCCACAAGCCCTGTACGCATCGTTAACTGCTTTGTTGATTCTATCCAGGGCCGCTGCCACACACGGTGTGGCACATGAATCAGTTGGACTGGGGTCGTTCAGGGATAAGTCCATACCCTGTGTCTGTTGGAAATCATTTCCCTGCATCCATGGCTCTTGCTGTCGCGGCATTGCCATAGGAGAATTTCCACGATTAAATCCTTGACCCATTCCAAAATTCATTTTAGTTTGCAGATTGGGAGTCTGTCCTGGGCCCATCCCTTGGTTCATTCCTTGGTACATTCCCGGGCCCATTCCTTGGTTCATTCCTGGTCCCATGCCAGGGCCCATTCCCAATCCCATTCTTTGATTCATTCCTGGACCCATTCCTTGATTCCTTCCTGGAGTCATTTGTTGGTTTATTCCTGGATCCATTCCTTGATTCATTCCCGGTCCTATTCCTTGATTCATTCCCAGTCCCATTCCAGGATCCATTCCCGGTCCCATTCCAGGATTCATTCCTGAGTTTATGCCATTAATATTTGGATAACAAGCACAGAAGCAAGTCATGTCATTTTCGTTTGGAATTGCACCTATATTTTTTTGCCTGTTGTTTTGTCTGTTTAAATTAGACCTATAATCGTATGCTCCCGCGTTTCCACCTCTGCCGCCATAACCTCCACCCCCGTTGTAACCTCCCCCACCGTTGTAACCTCCACCGTAATTTCCACCGCCCCCACAACCACCACTACCTCCTCCTCCTCCTCCTCCCCGTCCGAAACCTTGATTTGATTCCTCCTGTCCACAGGTACTGGCGCTGAATCTATTCTTACAGATACACGAGAAATCTGTATTTCTTGTTTTCTTCAGCTGATCAAAGGTGAAACAACAGCATCGCTTGCTACTATCTTCCGGCTGGTAGTTCTGATTCCTTTGTCCTCGACCTCGCCCCTCTCCACCTTGGGCATTCTTGCTGCAAAAATCATCTCCTTTCTTCTTGCAATTTTTTTTTCCTTCCTTCTCTTCCTCCTCCGTACAGTCCACTTCTTCTTCTTCTCCTTCTTTTTTGCCCCCCGACACGCTCTTTTTATCTTTTATCTTTTCTTTTTTTTCATCGTCACCTTTTTTTATAGAAGCTTGGCTGGGTCGCTTATCACGTTTTTCCTCTTTCGGCTTCTCTTCCTCGTCACTTTTCAGCTTCTCCTCCTTCTGCTCCTCTTCCTCTTCTTTCTTCGGTGCCTCCGGTTGCTCTTCGTCGTCGTCGTCTGGATTGTGGGCGGCGATGTTGTTCGCTGCTTTGATGGCTTCTTTGTATTTCTTCTTCTTGTCAACAAGTGCCAACTTGCTGTGTTGCGAGGTGGACTTGTTGGTGGAGGCGAGGCTGGCTTTGCTTTCGTATCTGTCGCTGGGAGCGTCGCGACTTTTTTTCTGATACAAAGGTGGCTTCAATTGGGAGGCAGATTTGTTCGAGCTTAAGCTTGTCCTTTTTTCCATCTGACGTTGAATGAAAAGTAAGATTTATTTTTTATTGTTTTATAATTAATTAATTTAATTTAATAATTAGATTGTTAATGTATTTATTATATTATGTAAACGTATCCAAACGCGAATAGCGACTGACTCAGTGGTAAGCAAAAAAAGTAAGTAGCAGATAAATTGTACTTCGTTTTATAAATTTGAAAAAAATATCTTACACTAACAACAATCTATCTCAACAGTTTTAACACCGGAAGGAGGATTTGAATCAAAATTTACAGTTAAAAATCTCGATTAAGAGTTCTAAAAAATAATCTTCCTACCTTCGAGGTTGTATCTTGATTCCTCCTTCAAATAAACACCATTTAATGCGGGGCTTGATGCAAGAAGCATCAACGTTACTACTAAATTCGCGAGATATTTCTGATGTTTAATTTTTTCGCGTCCAATTTAAATTTTCAAAACTTTTTTTTCAGTAGCGTTTTGCTAGGAGATAACATCTAATGTTTATATTACAATTTTTATCTGCGCAAATTTGTTTATAGGTTTCATTTTGGTTTTGAAGTTTTGTGTAATATAATCTTACGTCATCATGATTTTGTTGTTTGGAACCAAAAACACTGAATCTCAATCTGTTTTTGAATACTTTTTCAGCCGGATGAACAAAATTTATGAATGAAATTTAAAAAAAATGAAACGCCGGCCGTGGAATTATCTCGATGCAACCGTCAATGTTAATAGTTCTTATCCTTAAATACCAGAAAATATTATCAAATCAATAAATTTGAATATTTCATAATATACATAGTATACATGTCTAAATTTTCGAAAGAGAGTTTTGAAATTAATTTCATTGGATTTATTGATAATTATATATTATTTTGAAGGTTATTTATCCCTCTATCTAGTTTATGTTAAATATTTTGTTGAATATCCCACTCTGTTTATTTTGGAGCAATATTTAGAGATGTTGTCAAAGTGTGAATTTTTTTTACTTTCATGACGCGTCTGTTGTAACTTGTGATATTGTGGAAGCCCGAGCAGATGTCGGTGCTCCTGGACCAATACCACACAAAGTTTGTTTAAAATAGTTAAAAAGAAACTGAATTATGAGATTCCGCTTCATCCAACATACATACCAGACCTCTTACACAATTTTTCAAATAACATTTTGTAGGAACAGTGCTTCAAAACCGAAGACAGAAGAAAAAACATCTTCAGACAGTTCTTTACCTCCAGAATCGCTAATTGCTACTGTTCCAATTTTGAATTTATTCCTCACCGGCAGATGAGCCTAGATTGCAATGGTTTCATTTTGATTGAAATAGCCAAGACATAGCGTTTTAAAGTGGTCGATAGGCAGAAGAAAACCGACATTATATTTTGCACCAACCAAATACGACACAGCCTGCATGCAATTGATAGCAATTTATACTTAGGTATAAAGCGTCTGAAGAATATTATTAAAACGCTAAAATGAAAAATTTCATCTGTAAAGTCTGAATTGAAGTTAACATTTAATCTACGTCATGCAAACTAAAAACATCAGCAAACTTTATTAAATTAAATACAGCAAGCAAAAATCATCATAAAAATAGCATACCGACCAGGTGATAGTCGACATCCCTGCCGACTATGAGATCCGGTGCACGAACATTCTAGAAATCATACTCGATACGAATAATGAGTGGGACATCGCAGCCGATTATTAATTTTTGGAATAATTCAGTACTAACATGAAGACAAAATAGAAAAAATTCAAACACGCCAAACAACAATTTAGTCACCCGCCCGTCTGCAACGTCCTCGCATTGATTTTTCCTACACATAACTTGAGAAATGTTTAAGAAAAAACCCCCGCCACCACCACAAGATAATGATTCCGATTCCGAATCCGATTATTCCGAATATTCCCAGGACGAAGTTGATGAGGATGCAGGACCACCACCGCCTGCAAAAGGAGCTCCACCAGGCAAAGGGCCGCCACCTCCCCCACCTAGAAATCAACAACCTCCAGCTGGTAAAGGCCCCCCTCCACCTCCACCTGGTAAAAACCCCCCTTCACCTCCACCTGGTAAAGGCCCTCCTCCACCTCCACCTGGGAAAGGCCCACCACCGCTTCCACTTGGTCGGGCACCTCCACCCCAAAGAAAACGCCCTTCAGCCGAAAACTCAAAAAATTTGTCTAAAAGTCAGCAAACGTCGTCGATAAAGAATAGAAACTCATATGAAGGTAGATATGATAGTACCTCTCCGCAAAATTCTCCGTCCATGAGGGAGTCTCGCTCGACGTACGACAGCCAACAATCAGCCACGGAAGCAAAGAAAAATTCAAAACAATCGAAAAGTTCGAGGCAATCAAGTACTGGCAGCAAAAGCAGTCCTAGCAGTAAAGCATCGTGCTCGGGCAATCGAAAGAAAAATTTCTACTGCCTATGTCAAAAAATGCAGAAAAAGCTCAATGGCCGCGATAAAAGAATTAGCTACCGTTCATCTCTACACGATAAGGAGTATCACGGAAAATGTGGCTACAAATTTACCGGGTTAGGAAAAGATTTCAATAAATTTCTGAACATGAATTGCGACTGTCCGCCCGATCTTCCATATTTATTTCGACCTGGCATGCTGTCGTCACGTAAGGCTTGTTTCTCGCCCTACAGGGAGAAACTCATCAGACAACTGACTGGTGAGGATTACAAAAATAATTTCAATGAACCCTTCAAAACGAATTTTGGTTTCAAAGATGAAGTTCACAATCTCAATGCCGTTAAGCCACTACACCGGGATGGCAACAGGGCTGGGATGAGACAGGAGCGCGCCAACAACAGACCGACCAACCGCGACATGAATTCATCGTCTGAAAAATTGCTGGCCAACGTATTAGGAGTTATTCAGACGCATTTGAATAAGAAGAGACAAAAATATCAGGAGCACAAACTAAGAACTAATTACTACTCAGATCGAACGGTTTCTCAAAAACAACAAAACCAGCATCAAAATCTTAAACAGATTGTTATGAGCTTGGTTAACAACGTTCCACGCGACGAAACGAAAAACGCAAATAATCCGGATGACATCATGAAGAATCTCAACGATGGCAAAGTCGTCGTTGTCCCAATCTCGCCGGGAACACAGGTCGTCCTTCAACCTCCCAGTCCGGCTTTTCCAGTCATGCAACCAAGATTTCCGGTGAGACCTTTTCCATCTCCAATTCAAATGACTCGTCTTCCATTTCGACCCCCCATGCAACAATATCACCAACCATTTATGGGCCTTGCACCCTTTCAAATGCCCCCGGTAAGACAAACAAGACTGCCTTACCCGCGCTATCAACCAAACATGAGCAAGTCAAATTCCGTCTGTTACAGTAAGAATGAAGACTTTTGTTCGGAGGAACAAAATCAAAAAACAATCATCCAGGGAAACTTTTTTCCGCAACCTCAGACGGACATAAGAGATGTAGATCCTAAGAAACATGATGCAAAGAAAAGGTGCAAAAATAAAACAAACCCAAACGTTGGAAAGTTGTTGAATGTAATGAACAGCCTCAAAGAACGCCCCATAACACCAGATGATGGCGAAATGATTAAGGAACAACTATCCATCCAAGAACAAGCCATCAGGGCTCTCGATGAGAAAAATAAAAAGTTAGACAAGATGATGATGGAGTATCACGAGTGCTTTATTCAACCGTCGCTCGAATCAGATATCCTCAACCTTCAATCTAGCTCATCAACGCGTGTAAAACAAAAAAAATTTAATCAGAAAGCCGAGAAGTTGGCTTCGGTGGTGAATTTTTTGAAATCGCTAAAGAATAGAGAATGTTATAACCATCAGTTTAACAATAATAAAGGTCAGGTTATTTCATTTCGGTAAACTCTTTCATTTTGGTTTTTATTTCAATTTCTCAATTTAAGAGTTTTAAAAACTAATTTCTTCCATCTAAAATGACATTAATAATAAAGGTTTATATTTCTAGATGTCTTAGTTAAATAAATATTTAAACAGCGTATAAAATACTATAAAACAAACAACACAGGACACGTTCATCACACATCACGTAGAAAATCACCTCTCACAGATGATGGGGTTTCTACTGAAGAAGTTATACCAATCAATGATGATAGTGACGACGACTATGATAAAAATTCTGAAAAAGCAGACAACAGAATCAACCTCATAGTAAACGAAATGGTAAGGTACTTGCTAAGGAATGAAAAACATTTACTATCAAAAAATTTAAACTGCAATCAAGAACAGTCGTCAGGTGATTTCACGTCCATATTAACCTACCTGCTCAGAAATTATTCCCAAAATGACGATTGCAGAAATCAAAATTGTCAAGAAAAGATGAAAATTCTATCGACTGCTGCTGACAAAGAAAAGAGTGTGACACCAAACGAATGTAAAAAAAATAACCCCGAAGTGCGAAAACACGTTGACTATATTTCAAATCCTGACTTTGAAATGACCGAAAAAAATGATTGCAACAATTTTAGCGAAAGTTTCATTTCGGGAAATTGCTTCCACCAACGGCGATGCTCTCAAAACTCCAGTAAAATTAACTTCAATTCCCAGAATGCAAACAAGACATCGTCATTATTTGATATGATACCCGCTAATTTATTGGTGGAGTTGAGGAGTTGCTTGGACGAAAGTTTGGCCAACTCGGGACAGAGCAGGGATGTTGCCGATTCATCTTTCGTCAACAGAGCATTTAACGAAAATGATGACGAAGACGATGACGACGATGGAAACTACTACTACAACGACGACGATAGTGATGATGATGAAATGAATCAAGATGTTTTTAATACTGTAATTATGACTCTAGCAAACGAGATTGAAAGGCTGTCAGCTAGGGATAAGTGTTTGAAGGAAAGTTCCAGTCCCCACGAAGCACCTCAACCAACACCACGCCTGAAAATACGGAAAATTTTAAGAAGCAAGCCGCGACCACAGCCGCCACTTCTGTGTGAAAGGGATGAATGTGGCTCGATGAGTCCGTCACAAACGGAAGCACCAGCATGCAAATGTAGTCCACTCTACGTCAAACGAAGTCCCAGCAGCCACTGCGTCGTTGAGTACTGCAAACGTCGAATCCGAAAGGATCCTTGCAAATCTTTCCGCTGCATGCACACGATGAGGAACCTCTGTCTCTGCCAACCCAACAACGCCAATGTGAGTGGAGGGGGTGGAAACATTCAAGACGATCCGGAGTCAGATTTCTTCATCTGTGAAAGTGAGGATTGCCGGGAAAGAATGAATAATAATTACGGGACGGATGAAGGAACGTCAACAGATAAAGTTCGTCGCAAAGAAGATAATTTAACTGAGAGGAAACTTTCTGGTAATACTTTGAAAAAAAGTCAATCAAATCAAAAAAGGACGGAGTTAAATGCAACTGGGACTCAGAAGCAAGCGCCGAAACAAAGTATTAACTCTATGAAAAACGTTTCTGAAAATAAATATAACGAGATGAACGATAATTACGATTCCGACTCCGATTCGTCTGAAGATACGGAGAGTGATTCTTCTTCGAGCGATGACAATAGTGAATCATCCGCTTCTTCATCGCTTAGGCCGAGTAAAACGGAGAAAATAATTAGAACGAGTTCAGCAAGGAGATACAGTGAGCAGTCTAAAAATACAACTGCAAGTAGGAAAAACTCGCAGAGCAATAAGAGAACTCAGGTTGGCAGCCCCCTCTCAACTCTAACTGTTAAACCCGTTCTAAGCGAAAAATCTGATTGGGAAAAATCAAAAATTTTAGACAGTGAAAGTCTACAGAATGAAATTCCGCAGCAAAAAGGTTCGCGGGTGCAAACGACGCTGAGTAAAAAATTGAAAAGCAAATCAAGCATTTCTGTTGAAAAACTATCTCAAACACATTTAAAAACTTTGGAAAGGACGGACGTGAATAGTTCGATCATTAGTGTAGAATCTAGGAACAAGAGAAGTTTTTTGAGCGATAAAGCGTCTCGAAGAAGTTCAAAATCTTTAGAAAATAAAAGCTCCAAAAGTGCGAATTCCCGTAGGATAAGTTCACAGAAAGAGAAAATTTTTCAAGCAAAATTAAGTGAGATCTCAGAGGAAAGCGAAACAAGCGACTTTAATGAGTTGTCGTTTAGAAAAGATTCAAAACATGCGGAAAATAATTTAATCCGGCCCAAGAGGAGCACCCAAAGCGACAAGAGCATCCATTGGCAGTTAGATGACAGAGGTGAAAGAAGAGATAAATCTACTTCGACCGACAAACATTCGAAACAATGTTTGAAAAATTCAGATAGCAGGAGAAGCGGGGATGTGATTTCGCATTCGAACGGGAGTGACTCGTCGACCAACAAATCTCAACAATCATATCAAAGCATGAAAAATAACAAACATTTGGAAAAATATTCGGCAAAAACTGCACAAAATTCCTGGAGAGACAAAAGTTTAAATAGTGTAGAGATAGCCAGGAATAGGAGTGCCCAAGGTTTCGAACTTATGCCTCAGCATTCCAAGAAGAATTCAAAAAGTCATTCAAAGGACACGCTGACTACAACAAACAAGTTAAATACGGTGACGGATGGAAGTTTCAAGAGCATGGTCGCATCTGCCTCTGCCAAAGACAAAACCGCTCAATACTCCGATCAAAGTTTGAAAAAGATTTGGAATAAGACGATCGTAATGAAGACGGATGAATCTGAAGCAGAATGCTCTGTGAGCCTCACTGTACGTAAGAAGAGTTTGCCAAGTAACGACACCTTTCCAAATGCGGCCAGTCATCGTTACCTTAAAAGCCAAAAAACTAGTGCCCCGTCAAAGGAAAAGAGTCGAAATGATGTTTCGAGATTGTATACAGGCGAATCTTTTAAAAAGGCATCATTGCACGGAGAAAGTTTTGAAAGTTTCGTTCGAAGTCCAGATGGTGAGCACTGCATTCAAGCCACGTGCTACCATGTATCCAGGGACAGGTTCATCGATCACCACTCAGAATCATTCGTTAGAAGTACAAAACAACAACCAAAACTGATACACAAACCACTGAAATACCGTTTAACTGGCTCCTCCCACATTGACTACAAAACATGTTCCTCCCCCGAGTCCCTAACTTCAGGGACTGCTACCTCCTTTGAAAGGAGGTTGAGCGGCCCAGCCAAAACAAAAAAATTTTCTCGCTTCAGTGACGATAAACAGAACGGACAAACAATATACGAAGATAGTTCATCATTTTGTGAACCACATTCAGTCATACTACCCCAGGCTAACATCACCCAAACAGATCCCTCTCTATGCTTCCGAAAGAAGAAGGAATGCTGCGGCAAAGATGAGGATGAAGATGGAGCATCTTTCTCGAAAAATGGCTTTCCACGTCCGTTCTTTAAAAGAAATGAAAATT